TTTTTTTAAATAAGGATATCCTGTGCACACAACCCTGTCATGTGATTGAGGTGACCAAGGGCATTGAAGAGAACTTATGAGATATTACCATTGTTCCCTGTCACACTTTTGGAGACTATTAAGTTAAGCATCTGTGTTGAATACATTCATTTTAATAGGGGACACAGCAACAATTCCTGCATACTGTTGATAACTTGTTCTCACTTTATTAAGGCTTCAGTCCTTAGACTTTCATCATGTTTTGTTGCGTTCACAGTATCAATACTGTTAAATAAAGACCAGAAACCTATATAAAACACAGCAGGAAAGGGAAACTCAAATAAAGAATAATAGGGCCCCTTTAAATCTTTCTAAAGGTTCTGGAATATTTCCTGAGTGCCGGGAGCCTGAATGGCCTTGTTTTTGATATTAACCAGACTTTGATGTACAGATCAGTCTGCTTCACAAAGCTTTGTATTGTGGCTTTACTTTCTCAGTTATTGAATTATTTTGGCACCAATGCAGTCACAGCTTGCTGTCTTTTGATATATGCTGGCTTCAGTTTTTATCTTTAACTTGTGATGCTGTGCACAAAGCCATAAAGACAAATACACAACACACATATTATTACTTGTATTTTTCATGTTTAATTTATATCTTTTTCCTGGTGGATATTTTTCACACAAGCCTGAGAGGTTGTCACACTGCACATCATTACACATAGAGTGTGTGTAAAAAATAAGCCTTTAAGTTATTTATTCCGAGTAGAGTAAGAGCAATGGTCAAAAGTGCTGTTACAGAAGTTTGCATTGCACCAAGAAATTTTATTAATGGTAAATGTACGAGGTGTGACTCGTAAAGCAAATGTACGAGGTAAACACGTACCAATCAGAGCTACTTAATAATAATAAGACCATCCAGACGTACAATACTGCGTGGCTGTTATTAAATATTCATGGGTCCAGGTGATGGATTGGCACACTTTTTGCATCTCAAACACGAAGCATTTAAAACAGGCACGGTTCCTGTGGTTTCTGGTGTGTTCATCAGATGTTTTCTGTCTTTGTGGAGCACCTGTTTCCTAATAAAGCTCCCTGGGAATTGAAGTGCATCTTCACATGACACAAACCAGATACATTCACTTTATCTCTCTCCAAGATAAGCCACAGATAACACATGCACTCTCCAAGTAATGGGACTTAATATGTATAAATGGGGCCTGAGAAACCAGTAACAAATTCACTATTAACCTTATTTTGCTGTACATCTGGCCTTAAATCATTTTGTTAATAATTTGTTTATCTATCTGGATATACAGAATCAATTATATTGACCAGAAGACCAGATATACTCACATTTGAATAGCAATGACGTATATTGCAGAGAGGAACAAGCTGTTTTAGGTTTCGGATACACAGAGAAGATTTTTTAGTTGAAAGAAATCATCTTTTTTTTTTGTTCTTGATAAAAATAAGACTATATAAAATACCAGACTTATCTTAGATAACATGCATACAGTAGATAATGTTTACTATGTAAACCGATTTGGCCTTAGAAATGAGAAGACTCCTCACCCGGTATCAGACTAAACTAAGGTTGTTGGAGTTATTGACTGTCACAGTTAATGAAAATGAGCATCTGTAAACTCATAAATGTCCAATTTTTTTAATAAGCAAGCTAGTAGCCATTGACTCTCTGCAAGGCAATAACCTCATAATAAAAACGAAAGGATTCCAGAAAAGCATTAACAATTTGTGCTTAATCTTGCAACACAATTCCTTACCCTTTTAGTATTACATTTCAGTTCACACACACACACACACACACACACACACACACACACACACACACACACACACACACACACACACACACACACATCCTACACTCATACACATAGCGGCATGTGATCTGTCCTGATGCGTTTTAGTTCCAATGCTGCGCTCTGCTGGTCAGGAGCAATACTGCGTGTTTATTTCTCCAAAAAAAAAATTCATCTGGAAAAATGTGAAAAAAGAAAAAAAAAGTATTTACTCTGACAAAACCTTTTATAAAATAAAGATCAGCTCTATTACTCACAGCCCTCTTGAGGATGAATATCATATGAACGTTAAATATGTTTTTACTACACATTTGGCCTCCATTTCTACATATTTGACCTTCTGTTGTGAAGAATGTCCCACATATTTTCATACATATTGTCTCCAGATGGAATCACAGTCTAGTCATTTCTAATTTGGAGCTCATTGGCTTCATATTTATAAAACGTTACTAAGGATAATATCAGTGAAACCAAATGATTCTTCTTTCCTTTTTTGTACACCTAAATGTATGATGCACCAACTTAAAATAATCCAAACAGAACAACAAAAATATTTAGCATTTTGTGGTTTTTAACAGCTGGTCAGGATTCAAAGTTGAGTTGTTGTGGTTTTGGGAGTCAAGCTTGTGTGGTTGATTTATAACTCCCCTCAAGTCTCATTTCCTGCAAACAAACACTGCTCAGCTGCATATCTTGCTTATCATGATAGATAGCTCACCCAAAAATATCCTCTTACTTGGATTCTGCCTGTGATGCATTTCTAACAGCAGCCACTCTTTTGGGGTCTGTTCGACAGCTTCCTCATTTATAACCACCATTTACTTCATGAAACTATCATTTCTGAATAGTTCCGAGTTTTGACGTGTGTGCCTCCAAGGAAATATCAATCAATAACACCAAAAACAACATGAATCCCAAATAAATCCTCTTTCATGATTTCTACCTTTCCCATGCCCACCAGAGAGTGGTCTTACTCTGAAAGGTGGAAGGCCAGGCCAGGAGTGACGCATGGGAACCTCTAAGCAGTGTGGGAAAGTAACTTTGGTCAGGCAGGTCAAAAGTCAGATGTCTGTGAGATTGTGCCCAAAAAGTGCTTTTAAATCCAGCCTGTTGTAGGCACCTTGATTCAATATTTATATTAATGACAAGTCAAGTAACATGTGTAATTGGAAAGGGATCGCCCATAGAGATGAACCAACGACAATCATCACCCAATAAAGTGTTTTACCCACTTCTAACACGGGTATGACAACAACTTATAAGGGTGATAAAATATTGTGCCAACAGCTTCTTAAACGTTCTACCAAGTGGCCACAAGATCGATCATTACAGCTTTTAAGTCTCTTGAAGTTGTAAGCGACCATTTGCAACAGTGACAGAGCAACAATATATTCATTTGGAGGTAAAGGACATCCGGTGAATGTAAGTACAGTTTCTTATTTCCTTTTTAAATGCTTCACTTTCTTCACCAGCTAGTCGCTAACTTTGTCTGTCTGCTGGTTGGTGGAGGTAGTTTACAAGTTTTTTCTAACAGCTTTTGATGTAAACAGCTGTCTGCCTTACCAGAAAATGACACTTTAAGAGCAGTAAGAGTCGACCAGACAGCTTAACAATGAGTTGAAAATCACTGTAAAGTCAATGAAAGCTGCAGATTCAGGTTATAATTATCTGTAAGTTTATCATCATTATCAAAAACTTTCCTTGTTTTCACTTTGTCATTTGATGCAATCTAAATTATATTTTAAATGTTTTATTAAAGCTGGTTTGAGAGTAATTAGATTATTTTAAAACATACAGTAGAGGACATTTTGTTTTGTATACAGTATATTCATTAGTTGCACACAAGTAAACATTATCATTATTATTAATTATAGAGGGTTGAACTATAGGTCAAACTTGATGCAATACAGTGTTTTTGTTGTTGTAAGTCATCACTCTCTGTCTTGATACACTGCGCCTAACCACTCCATCATTTTCTGGAAGCTCTGCCCACAGGGAGTACCTCGCCGGCGTCACTCTGACATAAACCCCCACATATCTACTTGCTATACCGGGTGGTCGGTACAGTACTAAAACACAACCTCAACCTGACAGGTCAGATACTCTGTGATACCCCCCCCCCGCTGTATAACCCAGTGGTGAGAACCAGGACAGAATGATAACTTACTAAGCTTTGTCCGGTCAGAGCACTACGCCAAGATGTACGGTATGACAAATTGACCTATGTTGTAAATGTATTATCTTTTCAATTTACACACGGCATCTATTGCACGTCTGTCCGTCCTGGGAGAGGGATCCCTCCTCGTTTGCTCTCACTGAGGTTTCTTCCACTTTCCCCATAAACTGTGAGGTTTCTTTGGAAGTTTCTCCTTGTCCGATGTGAGGGTCCAAGGACAGAGGGTGTCGTATTGTCATATTCTGTACAAACTGTGAAGTCCACTGAGACAAATGTAACATTTGTAATATTGGGCTATATAAATCAACCTTGAACTGAAGTTACAGATGTTTCATGTCCTTCCCTCTTGGCCTGTGTTGTGAGAATCAATACTGGAGTGGTAAACAAGCTGCAGTGGTAAACAAGCTGCAGTGAACATTGCATGATGAGAGTAATCACAAGCAGAAGGTCAACAGAGAGGCGTAAAACCTGTCCGCTTTTCAGATATGGAATCGAAGGCTGTGGGAAAAACAGACAAGGCAAGCTAAATGTTATCAACTGCAGGACAATCTGCAATCTACATTCAACAATTATAACATTTTCACGAAATCAGCCTTTGTATAAAACCTCATCTAATTAAAGTTATACGTAAACAGTTGTGTATAAATCAATGAAGATCAAATGTAATCAAACGTTTATTTGTAAGCAATTTAAAACAAATCAGTCAACTTTCAATCAATCTAAAAGTTCTCACAGGCCCTGCAGACAAGGTGTCCATCCTACTGACGTCAGCAATCTCAGCAGCTCTGCACCCCTGCTTTCTGTCTTCAATGTTTTTCAAGAGGTCAAAGGTCAGACCTCTCACAGGGACCTGGTTATCACAGTAAGGGTTATGGGAGCAAGGGAGAAGGGTAGAGGGGGTTGGGAGGAGGAAAGCAGAGCTTGTTTTCAAGTGGTCACCACCAGCAGAGCTCCCATACAGTCAGTGGCATATAGGTGAGGCATATGGGGAAGAGCATTTGGTATAAAGGGAGTCGAGGCAGCAGTACGGGAGGGAGAGCAGCAGCTTTCATATCCGCCATTTTAATAATATTCGATATTCTGGAATATTCTCAAACCTGGGAAAATCCACTTTGCATATACAGCCTCCATTTCTGGTCTGTATTTTCCACCTGTCATCACCATGGCTCTGTTGATGACTTACTGGATGTTTTTGGTTGCTTTGTCTTCGACTGTGACATGGACCCATGCCTTGAGAAGGTGAGACTTGTTCAGATAAAACTGTCTTCTTGGCTTGAACAAAACAAGAAGACATAAACAACAAAAATAAACAAAGGAAAACAAATGTTTTATTGGTCAAAGTTATTGTTTTCAGCATTCAGGCTAACATATGTTTTTGTTCATTTTTCTTGCTGAGAGCACTGAGAGCAAGCATTCTGGCATTATTAAAGCATCATTGTGAAAATGGGTTGGTGACCAGGCATATGTAGTTGATATGTAGCATGGAAATAGTACTTCATATAAACATAGTATTTCTTCTTTTGTCACAAAGTCTTTACGTTTCTGCCGCAAGACATTAATAATGTCTGTTCTGTTTCCAGAATCTCCCTGCACAAGATGCCCTCTATCCGAGAGACACTGAGGGACATGGGTGTTTCTGCCGAGCAGATCCTAAATGAGTTAGCCGAGAAGAGCACAGACGACAAAAACGGAACTGTTCCCACCCCTCTAACCAACTACTTAGACGTGAGACAATTTTGTGTACTATTTAAAGAACATTTCTGAAAAGTATTTTATGAAGGCTCAATTTAGTAGAAACCGACATGCTCACATGTAATTTAATTTGATGTCTGCTAAAAAAAGACACTTTAGTTTTGAGGGTTTAAGCAACTATGGGCTTTGAAGCTTGTCTTTGGCAAAACTCCAAACTTCATACAGAATAAAACAGCAAATACGATCGCCTTTAGATTGAAACTTTTGATTAATGTAATAATTGTATCATCAGTGGCATCGTTAAAGACTTCAAATTCAATTTGTGTTAACTGCATAAAAGAAGGATTTGAAAGACACCATCAAAACGACAAAGGAATTAGCTGGTTTAGGAAAGTCAGGAAATAGATCACCATAACTTAATAATTGTATTTATTATCTCTAATAGACCCAGTACTTCGGGGAAATCAGTATTGGCTCTCCACCCCAGTTGTTCAACGTGGTCTTTGACACCGGCTCCGCCAATCTGTGGGTGCCTTCGCAAAGCTGCTCACCTTTCTCCACCGCCTGTTGTAAGTGTCCACGACCCAGAAAATAACTTTTAGTTACAGCTGCAATAAGGCCTTTCCTGTTAGAGAAAAAACTCTACTGTTTTGGTACTGTTGCAGGCACCTGTTTTAAAGGTAAAAGCTCTGAAAACCAAGTATTCCACAAATATTCCACTACCTATTCAGCACCTCTTTGACAGACTAGCAACTAACTGGCAAAGAAAGTGGATTAATTAACAGCTAAAGAATTACATATTTTCCTCAGAAGTCGGTGCACACCAAAAGGATAGTGAAAGTTGGGATTACATTTGCAAGTTTCCGAGAAACACATGAAGGATAAAGTCGTATTTGACGGATGTGTAAAAGTTCACGATATGAACTTAAATGTGGTTTACAACTGGTGTGGTTTTAGGGTTAGGGTTAGGGATAAGCGAAAACGAAATGTTATCGCAGTTTTAACTGTTATTTTCATATAAATGAGACTCAAGAATCATTGTTTGATAAAGCTTCCAAACTACTTTGACAACTCAAATGAATTTTGAACTTTTAGTCATTCACAACAGATACGATGCCTCCCAATCTCGCACTTATGTTGAGAACGGAACCGGTTTTTCCATCCAGTATGCTGCAGGGAATGTCAGGGGATTTCTGAGTGAGGATGTGGTTGTGGTGAGTTGTTCATTAAACCAGTTTAAAAACAAAGAATTTGTTTATTTTCTAACAAACTGTTTCTTTAATGTCCTGCCACGGCCTCCACTCCCAACATGTGACTCTGAGCTTGTGTGCAGGTTGGTGGGATCCCTGTGGTTCAGGTGTTTGCTGAGGCAGCCTCTCTGTCTGCCATGCCCTTCATCTTTGCCAAGTTTGATGGAGTCCTGGGGATGGGTTACCCAAACGTGGCCATCGACGGCATTACTCCCGTGTTTGACGGTATCATGTCTCAGCATGTCCTCACGGAAGAGGTGTTCTCTATCTACTACAGCAGGTGTGTTAAATCCACTAAACTCATCCAGCTTGTATGAAATAAACAGAAGATAAATCGTTAGATGTGTAAGATAAAAAAAATATTCCACTGCTAGCAAGAACATATAGATTACACTTTTTTGTTTGTTTTGAATGAAACAACGATTACAAAATTAATAATGATTTAACATAGCGTTGTCAATAATTGAATGTATTAACTGCAAAATAGAAATATAATATTGTCTTATTAAATATCTGTTATGAAAATGTTGTAATCTTACTGGTAAAATTAAAGAATTTTTTTTATTAAATTACATCCTATGACTTGATTTTGGATCTGGTAGATATAACCGAGTACTTGAAGAAAACACATACTCTCTATTTATCAATCTCAGAATTGTCCATTGAAACCAGTTGAGGGAAAATGATAAAGGTTCCCTGGGATTTTTCTAGGAAAATTCACAAGTATGAGAGGTCATGGGAGGTCATGGAACAGTTTTTTAAATGTGTTTCCAGGGATCCAAAACACTCCCCAGGTGGAGAGCTGGTTCTTGGTGGCACAGACCCAGATTACTACAGCGGAAACTTTAACTATATGGACACTAAAGAGACTGGCAAATGGGAAGTCAACATGAAAGGGTGAGAATTTTTCTTAATACTTAAAACATTATGTGTATTTGCACTCATTAAGAAACAACAGGTTTTATTGTGCAACCCTTCATGCTTCCAGGGTTTCTGTGGGTATGGAGATGATGTTTTGTGCGGAGGGCTGCACAGCAGTGATCGACAGTGGCTCCTCCTACATTACAGGCCCGGCGTCCTCTGTGTCCGCGCTGATGAAAAACATCGGAGCGCAGCTGGATGAAAGTGGAGTAAGTTTTTAAGCATGCAACATGGTTTCCCACAGATACGTTAGTCTGTAAAAGAAAAGTCATCACCCTTTAATTTGTTTTGTTCATCAGTACAAAGTCAACTGTAACACTGTCAAGACGTTGCCCAGTGTCACTTTCCACCTGGGAGGACAGGAATACTCTCTCACTTGGGAGGATTATATCTTATGGGTAAGAAGGATGATACATACTGAATCATATTTATATAAACGTGCAGTTGTGGAATGCAATCAAGTACAATCACTCAAGAAGTGAACATCAGTGATTATGTGTTACAATGGCGTTTGTTGGCAACCAGAAAATCACACCAGTAATGACAAGCAGATGAGAATGCTGCGTGGGGTCTGGGTGCCGTGTTGGCGGGAAGTTGCGGGGCTCGCTGCTCCGCCCTTTGAGGCTCAAGGAGCGGACAGTGTGATTACTGGTGTTGTTTCCTGGTTGCTGCGTGGAGCCTGCAAGAGGAGCTCCGCGGATTGGTCCATTTGGACCTGGGTATCGTTACGTCACTATACTCAGGAAGAAAAAAATTGAAAAAGAGAAATCTCCAACGAGGCGTTCTGGGGCAGCATAGACAGGTATTTTCTGTGTTACAGTTTTACTCGCTACAGGGTGTACTTTGAGGGTTTGTGACTCTGCAGACCGTTTACATGCATAAAAAGCTACATAACACACAAGGGGACGGGTAATAACCGGAAAAGCATGACATGGGACCTTTAAAATACAAGAACACTCAATAATTACAAAAAAACACAAAATAACCGTTTACTTCAAGTAAGCAGGATATATATATAAAAAAAGATTATGTACATACGAGCAAATGAGAGTGCAAAAATGTCCATAGCAGCGTAAAAGTGACCGGTGCTGGATTTTTTTGTGTGTGTGTGGGGTGTTAAAGTCCTGGGGCAGGGTGGAAAGGTGAGATAGAGGGGAGAGGTGGGAGGGGGTACAAGGCTACATTTTCTAAATGTTCTGCCAAATATACAATTTTAATCAAAATAAATCTTGATAATAACTTGAAATATGACATTATTATTCTCTTTTCGGCTTCATACTTGTATTTTTGGGTTTCTGCTGGAACATTCTTGCATGCTTATATGGTATCCATCATTTTTCTCCTACGATCTGTCTGAATATCTGAATTCCCTCTCCTTCTGAAACGCTTAATCTTAGTGCCTGTCTCTTAAAGCTCCATCCCGAAAAAGCCCACTCTGTACTATTGGCTTGCCAGAGTAATAAGACACACTTTTGCAAAGATGCTTTTCAAGCCTTGGTAGGAGATACTCAGATGGGCTGCCTACAAAATCTGACAGTTTGTGGGTTTAATAGGCAACCCACATGTACAGTATGTGTACACAAGCACTGAAAAGACAGTTTATACTATTTCTCCTTAAACAGTGAGGGAAAAATGTGATAATAATACATAGAGATGTCCCGATCCGATCACGTGATCGGGGATCGGAGCCGATCACGTGATTTTCAAAAGATCGGAATCGGGAGAAAAAAATCGGGGATCGGGATTTTTTTTTTTTTAATTGTTTTATGCAATGTTACAAAACAAAAATGACCATGTTCAAGTCTTAAAGTCATCCTGAGGCCTTAGTTTTGGTTTCAAATTACACAACATCATGTATGTGTTGCTTCTTTGGGGCTTGTTTTCATAGACCTGCTTATTTCTCTCAAATCTGGCAACAGAGTGGGCAGGGCGCAGTGTCTAATTGTAGCAGTAAGCTAACGAGTACTGATAAGCTTTATTTTGTTTTGATCCAATGCTGCACAACTGAACTGATCCAATGCTGCTGTGAAAAAANGTGTGCCTTGGCAGTCTCACCTTTTACATACAAATCATGTGATCTACAAATAGAATAGAATGTATTGTTGCATAATGGAATGTTGTTAAAAATACCTCCACCCACAGCAGCAACAATACTACCATTCAGTTTTCTACTTACAACATCAATGTCAATAATTAAATAACCCAATATAATAATATGCAACTGGATGAGGTCTGTGTGTGCAATGAATCCTTTTTAATATAATTGAATCAAGAACACAATTAAACGTGGTGTACTTTAAGCGAGAAATACCCATTAGAGTGGCCACGCTGTCACTAATCTGCGCTCGTGAAAAACAGTACTGGTACATACGCATACACTAATGGTGGTTGATTGTATATTTCCTGAAAAAAACTACAGGTGCCCAGTATGTTTTAGGAAATGATGATAAAGCCTTCTTCCATTAAAAAACAAACTATATACGCACTTTGAGCACTTCTCGTCATGCAGCAAGACTCCACCAATGGTGCGTCGTTGGGTCCTGATCTGCGCGCGAGGCAACATACAGAGCTGAATAATAATTCTAGTGAATATTCCTGAAAGATACGGGCACCAGAAGTTGTTAGTATGAAATGATTGTAACCTTCATGAAAAATAAACTATATAACACTGATTGATGTCATGTCTGCGCTACCATAGGGTTAGGCAGACTGTTTTGAAGATTTAGATCAGGATTAGAAGTACGCGAGCGATTATGAACTGAAAGTGGTAGGGTAGGCTAAGAATGGAGAAACCAGCTCGAGTGCGCTAGAATTTGAAAGTACGCAGCAGAAAAAAATCTGACCCTTCCTTACAGAGCCCCTCCTCCAATACACACGAACGCGCACATGATTAATGAGGGCACGAGATAAGTTTGTGCACAGATGGAAGGCTGACAGGCAGGTAGGCCATCGGCCGGGCCGGCTAAAATGATTAGTCTTGCTTTTAACAGTACTACGGCTTCCACAGGTGGCATTTTTGTATGCATTTATTGTCAAAGCATTTACTGTATGCATTGCTATCGGGATGTTAAGAGCATTCCATGGAATATAACAAAAAGTGTTTCTGAAGTGAATTACCTACCCCACCTTTAAAGGTCACATGTCATGCTTTTCCGGTTATTACCCGTCCCCTTGTGTGTTATGAAGGTTTTTCTACATGTAAACGGTGTGCAGAGTCAAAACCCTCAAAGTACACTGTAGCGAGTAAAACTCTAACACAGAAAATACCTCCCCAAAACGCCTCGTTGGTGAAACGTCATCATGACGTCATCATCCATTTGATTGAGCTGCAGCCGTTTAGTGGAGAAAGTGAATACTGCTGAATACACATACTTTACAGAGATGCTGTATGCGAAACCAATGTGAGTTTGGAAAATTGCACAGTATTTTTCTATTTCAGTATACCTCAACAATGGAATTATGATCAGTGGAAATGGCCATGACATGTGAAAAGTAGCAATACTGCAGTGAAAAAAAACTCAGTTACAAGTCCTGCATTCAAAATTGTAGGTAAGTAAAAGTACAAAAGTCTTAGCATCAAAATATACTTTAAGTACCAAAAGTAAAAGTACTCATTTTGCAGAATAGGCCATTGAAAGACCAAATACTTTTAGGGGTTTATTTTGATTATTTGTTGTACTACTGGGTAGCTTAATAAATAATAATCTGGTAGAAGGTGCAAAATAAATGTAGTGGAGTACAAAGGACAGCATGTGTCTGCTAGCTCCAGCTCCATATTGATGGGACACATATATTGGTGTCAATCTTCTCATCTAATGCTGGGCAAGAAATTGAATCGATTCATAATGTTCACAATGTATGAATTATATTATGTACAGTATGAGAGAACCCTCTGGACTTAAGACGAATGGAGGACGATTAATGATATTTGGCTTGAAGTTATGATACATTTATAAATACTATGAAAAAGTACATCAATATGCAACGATGACAACATGTTAGAAACTTCCATTATTAATAGATGGAATTTGTAAGCAAGAGAGGGTGATTATTCAAGATTGAACGTTTTTGCAGCATATCAGTTTCAAGAATTGAGCTATACAAATATTTGGCAGTCACACTACAAGTTAGAGGTTAAATTTTGAAGCATTTTGATTGTGCCGGCTCATTTCCAGCCTGAGTAGCTTTGTTGAACTATAGCCTATCGTAAGAAATGCTTAAGCAATGTTCTGATTGTGTTGATGAAATGCCAGTAAAGAGATATGCACTTTCACCTCACTGTCGACTGTCAACAGATACAATCTAAAAGAGGACAATTCATGGATGTGAGAGGAAGGAAGCATATGGCACTCTCACTGTCAAATCATTGAAGCATGAGAGGACTTTCTTAACCAATTTCGAGAAAATGAGACAAAAACATCTGACAACTGCATCTGCTGAATATGTGCCTTTATTGTTGTGTTATCTTGTGCCTCTTCTCCCAGCTACGTAAGCAGAAATAACCGTGTTTGTCAGGTCGATCCCTAAATCACAAACCAAGATGAATGTTTACTCCTTAAGGATTTTGTTGTTCAGAGCTTTTCATTATGAGCTTCAATGCGATACAAAAATAAAGAGTTTTACTCTAAACAGAGTTACTCGGATTACAAAAAGTAAAATGTTTGCTTTTTTTCAAAACAGAAAGAAAGACCATTGCTCAGTGAAAGGGACCACAGGTTGCACTAAAACTATAGAGCGGAAATAACTTTGTTTAGGAAATGTGTGACCCATGTAAAGAAGCAACTTCTGTGGGAGAACAGCACCGTTACACATCACGCTGTGAAAATACTTCCATGACTACTGTGATATGGCTAATTAAATCTGCTACAGCAATTGGTTTTCAACTTCCCCATGATCACAAAATGCATTAGACACACTTGTAGGAAAACAATGCAGTTATTAATGCATTCCGGCTCGGGTCTAATTTAAATCCATGGAAACAAGTTTATTCTTGTCAAGTCAGTACAATACATGTGTGGTTTTCCACTGTAGCTATGTTATCATTTTAAGCACAGTCTCACACACAGACACCAGCACACACACACTTGGCATTTGCTGGAAGATGCGGCTTATAAATAAATAGAAAACGTTTAGAATGCATTCAGTGCATTTGTTACACATAATGCAAGATATAAGATGCTGATATTCCTAAATGTGCAATGCTCTTTACCTTTTATAAATATAACAGATATAGTTTGGTCATGAGTTACCGTTAAAACTAACCGAAGCGAAAAATGGATGAAGAGGAGATAGCAGCAAAGATAGAGAAAAAGAAAACAGAGCAACATGGCTGAGGTTTATCTTCCCATCAGACTGCTGTAGCAAATCCTATCCGATTATTGCGGCGGTCAAACTCTGTGTAGTAGCGGGCAATGAAGTTGGCTCCCAAAATCCACATGGGACCTGTAGGGGGCGGCACATCCAAGGCCCTGAAGGTGACGGTGCAGACGTCCGCTTCGATCTGGGTTTGCTGCAGCCACAAGGAAAAGTCAGATTTATAACAAGACACTATAAGAGTAGCATATATACAGTGATGGAAGAAGCACTCAGATCCTTTACATTACTGCTATGGAAATAGTTTTGCACTCTCATTTGCACTATGTACATCATCTTTTTTTATATATATATCCTGCTTACTTGAAGTAAACGGTTATTTTGTNTTGAAGCTTCAACGCACGCCGCTGTGTGGACGGGCCATTAGACCAGCAGGGGTACCAAATCTATGCAGACTGCTGCAATAAGTACATTAATTAACTTGTGACAAGTTAATTAATGTACTTATTGCAGCAGTCTGCATAGATTTGGTACCCCTGCTGGTCTAATGGCCCGTCCACACAGCGGCGTGCGTTGAAGCTTCAACAAAAAGTTGAGCAATGTTCAACTTTTGAAGCTTCGACGGAAGCGTCAGCCAATCAAATCATATGCCAGTACAAGCTCTAGCCAATCAAACCGCATGCTTGTGTGTCCGGGGCGGGAGATTCATGTGATTGGTTGTTGGTCGAGTTTCAGACACGCCCGCCGGTAAGCTTCAACGCACGCCACCGTGTGGACGCTGAAGAGTGAAACAAGCTCATTCAGTTAAAATGTTAATTAATTAATTTAACTAATTTTCATTTACAATTACTGATGTGCCACAATAATGTCACCTAATGTTATTGAGTTAAAATATCAATATTGTGGCTTTCCAAGTTAACATTGATTGATATGACTGGGATTAAATCAGCATATACTTCTGCCAGGGGATGCCACCCCCTCAAAATCTCCTGCCACTCTCTTGCCACCCCATGAATATTTTTCTAGATCCGCCCCTGGCTATGGACAGACAATAAAAGCATAAAAATCTTTAAAACATAGCTCAAACTGACTCGAAAGCGAGGGAAAAGAGGTGGGTCTTCAGGCTGGACTTAAAAATTTGAAGGGTGGGCGACAATTTGACATGGGGGGGCAGGTCGTTCCAGAGCCTGGGGGCTACCGCTGAGAAGGCTCGGTCTCCC